TTATTTCTAACGCATTTTGTCTCACCTCCTCTTGATTTTCTTCTGTGCAATGTTGCACTTTGTTTTCTTTGATTGTACAACATTGAATGGGGGAAGGGAGGTACTGTCACAAACTGTAATTAATTTAAACTTCGTATCTAGATACTTCCTTAAAAGTGGCTATGGAGATATCATGTGTCACTAATTTGTCACTTGTTTACATGTGGACCCTTTTACTCTCAGTCAACAAGAATTAGGTTGTAGTTTTCCCATTTGGAGGTTTGTTATTTTTGTTTGGTTTTGTTGTTGTTGTTCTGGAAATTCCCTTGTATGACAATTTTAAAGTATTTTCAAAGAGGTCAAGCAATACTATCTATGAATAACTACTTTAAGTCTAATTCATGACAACCCACACTCAGTTATTTATGTCATCTATGTACCGTAGGCAACCTTTATCACACCTGTGCCAAAGAATCACAGAGCAAATGATTTTAATTATCAAACTCAGGGAGGCAATCCTCTGTCAAGTCAGTTGCAAGGATGTTCTGAAAATGAAGGCTTTAGGATGACAACAGATGGAGAAACAGAAGCAGTCTCAGGTTGTTCTTCATCTCTACTCTTTTCTCAACTAAGGTTTGTAAAAATTACAATGTAGATCTGTTATGTTCTTACAGTAACTTTTACTTTCCGTTGGGCTTACAGAGTTTCTGTGGTAGAACTTCGTAGAGCTATGTAGTGAGCAAAACATTACCTGCCCACTAATAGATACAGAGTTATCTTCTCGCATTGATATAATTTATGTCTACATGTAATTCTCTCCATGTACCTCTGAAGACATGAATTAAGTATGAATGGTGTTTTATTGCTTTGCAATCTTGATTTTTACTGCTCTGTTCATTGATCAATCTTTTGTTTTTAGGCATAATATGAAGGAACTAGACATTCTTCAGCAAAATTTAACTGTCAAATTAAGATCAAATCCTGTCAGTGATGGTGACGGCCACAATCGGGAAGATTTGTGGGCCACTCTCCACCCACAGTGCCTTTTTTCTGGTGGAGATGAAACAGTAAGTTTTCCTTTAGAATCTTCAAGAACATTGAGAACTGAAAACATGACTGGCAGTGGTAATGTCTTGGAAGGAAAGTTGGCTGAAGCTGTATTTAAAGAGAATTGTGATGAACATATGGGGTTGAATGGCAAACACATGACTCAGGTCAGAATTGATGGTTACATACTGCCCTCTCCAAAACTGACCCCAGAATTGAAACAAAGCAGTAGCTTTGTTGATAATGAAAAAACTGCTCTAAGAACTGCAGATAATGTGCTGGATAGTGGGGCAACAATACCTAACTATTGTGAACTTCAAGAACCTTCTGCAAAATGTAGAGAGGAATGTCTAGAACATACTTCAGTTTTGGACAGTTTACCTGATGAGGAGAACCAGTTATCTGTTACCATAGATTGCTGGCCACCTTTGAAAAGGGAACCTTCCCTCACTGATATTTCAGGAGACTTTTCAGTTAGTGGGTATGTTCAGGACAACACTAATGACACAAGGTTTGCTGATTTGAAAGACAGCTGGCTCAGCAGTGAAGAAGAAGAAAACTCAGGTTTGAGCCAGGCTGAAAAGCCTGGCATGTTAAATGTACCTTCTGGATTAAAAAGTAACAGACATACAGCTGGTGAACTGGAGAGAATTACTGTTACAAACTTTCAAAAGACAGAAAATAAAGTGAGTGACCGGAATGATGATCATTCCAGTATTTTTGGTGATAAGGATGAACAAAACATGGATGTTGATGTGATGTCAAGTGAAGCTGAAAGAAAACAGTCAGTTGATGACAGCATTAAGAGTAATGATAGTGGTGAAGATTTCACTAGATTGACCAGTATTGAATCAGGTGATATTTCTGCTGCAGGCAGAAAAATTACATCTAATCATGATAACATTAAGGAAACCTATTCAAATGAACATGCATCTAATAACAGTTTAACTCCAAACAAAATGGTAATACAAGACTCATTACCTAGATACCCTCTGTCTCACCGCCAGACAAGTGCTATGTTGCCAAATTTCTTCATGCCTTCAGAACAACTAGAGGAGTCTATGAGGGCGCTTAGACTGGGAACCTCAAACACATCTTCACATTCCAAGCTGTTAGCTTATTCACAACATACAAGAAACAACCAATGCACAAAAGAAAACCTGACTGAGAAATTTGCAAAAAGGAAACAATATTATAAAGACAAAAAAGATGAAAGGCCCCCAATCTCCCATTCAGAGGTGGATAGGATAGCTAGAATTTTCAAGTTGAATTCTGGGAGTTTGTAAGACTATGTTTAAAACAATGTGATGCAACCATTTGCATTCTTATGGTCATGTATTATTTCACTCCAGTCAAATTTAAAAAAAAAAAAAGATATATTGACAGCTATTTATTTCATCTGTGTAGCTTCCTTCTACCCACATATTTTTGGCTGTATGCTAATTACTTTTTCCAGATCATGTGAAATCCTCATGGTATTTGATGCTTTTAGTTTTTGAAAATCAGTAGTGCATTCAAACATAGATATTACTCACATCAATGGAAAATAATTCCTTTTACAAGATCAATACTTTGACAAAAAGATGTGCAGGTGAATGAGATTTTCTATAAGGAACAATAGTGGGCATATACAAGTTGAGGTAGGGGATATAAGCAAGGGAAAAATGATATTTGTGTGAGATGAGTTACAAATTGGATAATACAGGCATAAGTAGCATTGTTTCTTGTTGCTCAATGAAGTCAAATATTTGTCTCGTCATTCCACCCATCAGATTGGTGCAAGCTCTGAGTGACTGTTGCACATTGGGTTTCATAGTGTCAGGCAGTTAAATTCCTAACAGAACGATACTATTTGTCCCATTTGTTTGGAATGGCAATGTGACATTGGTGCTCTTCCTTTGTTCTTTGTTACAAAGAAGACTGGTAGATAGATTAATTTGTATGAACCAAAAGCAGAACTTTACCCCAGCAGTCCATAGTAGATTTAAGGTCTAGAGAGACAAGAACCTGGTCCAATGGAATTCATTTATTTGTAAATATTTACTAGTGATGGTTGAATAAATATACCATACAAACCTAGAATACTTTTTTGTTTCATACTTTGACTCTCAAATTTTTTGTCAAATCCCTTGCACCAACAGTCATGCATAAATTTTTATGATCTCGATCCATTCATTCTAATGTTGGATTGTACGTCTTACCAACAGAGGAGAAGTTTCTGACTTGTACAATCTGGGTAAAATCACTCATCAAAGCAAAACTGCCTGATACGAGACACGCCTATTCCATTACATACCCAAATTTATTCAATCTTTCCGTTGCAACCATCCACGGTACCTTTAAATCCCACGTGAACACTTTAAGACGTCCTGTCATTTGTAGGGACTGTAACTGTTATTCCTAAATATGTTTGTAGACAAACCAACGAAACAAAAAATAGCTCTGCTTGTCATCTAGTTGTTTTATTTTGATATTGGATGAAGAAAATTTTAGTCACGTACAGAACTAAGTCAGTACTGGATCGTCAAGCAGCTCTGCTATGGACAAAGACCACAAAACCTTAATCTTTGTTTGGCCTTGACGTTGCTAGGTAAATCCACCATGTAACTTCTGTTCCTGCTCCTGGCGCTTCACAGCTTCTTGGGCTTCTTTCTGCATGGTTTCCAGCTTTTCAAGCGTCACTGACTTCATTGGCATTATCTTGGGTTTGCAAAGAACCGGCATTGGCGTCTGTTCAGTGAAGAGGAGTCCTTGTTTTGGAAGAACCTCCTTGAACACAAGCTTTTCACCTGCCATCTTTTCTCTCCTCTAGAAAGATTACCACCGCTGACCAGATATAACCGTATTAATGAGGAGCAAATTAGGCGGTCAGCCCGCACCTGATTTGAAATAATAAAATTTGATTTACATCGGATCGATAGATGTATTCTTCGACAGACAATAACGAATAATGACCCGAAAGATAAGACAATCAAATTCAATAATGTCCCTTTTGCAAGGGCAAATTAAAGAAGTGGGAAAATCACAGCATGTCTTGTAGAAATTCAAGTTCAAACTAATAATACAAAATAAATTATTCATCAGAAAACGGCAACGGATCAATTACAATGGTATATTTCCAGTCAGCCATTCAGAGAATTCTTGGAACACCTCTGTAGTGCAAATCAAAGCTTTTCCATAAATCTTATATTCGCAATCATAATTGCACCTACTTCCTCTGACCTGAAAAAAATACTCGAAGAAAATATAAATAAATGTTATGATAGATTTTTTAACAGCTTATCTTAGGAACACTATTGGGGTGACAATCATCGTTATTTTAGGAAATGTGATCCCTTGTAATATTAACTTTTTCTCTCGCTCTGTCTCTCTCTGTCTTTCTTTCTCTGTCTCTGTCTCTCTCTCGGAAACATCTCCATACAAATACCATTTTAAAGTGGAATCGTCTTGTATCATCTTTCGTCAGATCTAATTATTTCCTCAAAAAATGAAAACCACCGAATTTATTTTTCGATATGCAAATTTTTTCTCGGACAGCCCAAACACTCCCACTAAAATCATGTAATTTAATTTTTACACTTATCATTATAGCCGGGGAAATTCTATGTATGCCCCCAAAAAGCTGTTTCCTTTAATTTCACATGAGAAATAAGAATTACACCTTCATTCCATTTTCATAAGCACCTAACCAACCTTTCTCATAGATGAAATATGACTGTGTCTTCGTTTATTGCAAAGCTATTCGCCATTTCAGAAGAATATTTTCGCCGAAGTATGACGCGTTACTGCATGCAAAAGCCACATTGATCAAGCCACCATTTGGAGGGCGCGGCAAATCTGTGGCTCACCGGCGAATGACGTCCTTGTAACATAGCGACCATCGACCAATCAAATGTCAAGAGGATTCAAAATAGCCAATCACAAGCTGTTCATCACGTGCCTCAGGGCAAAATTTTACCTTGCTTCGCTAATAGGAAGCTTTTCGTGAAAGGAGTGAACTGGATTGTTTTCTTGAATTACCTGTGTTTGTTCTTTGGTACAGAGTCAAAGGGGCGATCTGGTTCACCTTGACAAGCACATCGATATTACGGCCTGAATCTGCCTTGGAGAGTTTTCTATTGTTAATTTCCCGGTACAAGACCTGGCGTGCCCGAGTCTGTCTATTGGGCTGGTGTCTTCCATTCTGTTATTGTTAGAAGCTGCTTGCTTGTGAAAGATTGTTTCTCAGTCGACCTGAGGAGTTGTCAAAACTAAAAGTTCTCTCCTGGAATAATGTGAAGTTGGTAGTAGAGAGCAAGGAAGTAAGCGGACCTGCATTAGACAAAATCGTGTTTATTTGTTTCGGTAAGAGCAGTGACACACAGCCCAGGAATCTGGCATCCTTCTGTCCATTTGTTTGAGAAGAAACTTGTGAAGAAAAGTTTCGGTTTCTACCCTCCAAACTGGAAAGTATCTGTTGGCGTAACTGTGGTCGCTGACAAACTGATCTTCTGGCTTGTCCTAAATCTCAAGGACAAAAGAGTTTTGCAGTGTTTTTGAACAGTGAGGTGGAACCATCGAACTCTCCATTGTGAGTTTAATTAAAGGTATATCCCACGAGGCTTCGATTCGAGAGCTGTGTAAGATTTTTAACATAAATATAACTTAACATTTTGTAAACTAGGATTAATCATGGCAGAACCTTCTATTAAAAAGGAAGAGCAGCAGTCCTTGCGTTCGCTCGACTCGCTGGATTTCAATGCAGTCGCCGATTTTTCAGATCTTTCTATCAGAGATCTTACCTTGCTGATGGAACACAGGGGACAAGAAGCAAGAGATTACTTAAATTCAAACTTTGGAGGCGTGCAGAAGCTTATCCACAAGCTGCACACTTCTTCTGAGAGAGGAATTGGTGGATTTCCCGAAGACCTTGAAAATCGCAAGGCAGTGTTCGGTTGTAATTTCATTCCACCAAAACCTCCCAAAACCTTTCTCCAGTTTCTTATCGATGCTTTCAAGGATATAATCCTTATAATTCTGACCGTTGCAGCGGTCGTATCCCTAATGTTAGGAATTTTTGCGCCAGAGGAGTGCGAGGGGTCGGAAGACAACACTGGCTGGATCGATGGCTTTGCTATTATTGTTGCAGTGATAATAGTGGCATTAGTGACTGCGGTGAACGATTATCAAAAGGAGCAGCAGTTTCGAGGCTTGCAGAATAAAATCGAGAGCGAACACAAATTTACAGTTGTGAGGCATGGAGAACCTATTGAAGTACTGAACAGCGAAATAGTGGTGGGTGACCTTTGCCAGGTCAAATATGGTGATTTATTGCCAGCTGATGGTGTTGTTGTTCAGTGTAATGACTTGAAAGTTGATGAGAGCTCTCTGACAGGAGAATCAGATCTTGTTAAGAAAGGACTAGAGAGAGACCCACTGCTACTTGCTGGAACCCACATTATGGAGGGAAGTGGCAAGATGGTGGTTTGTGCTGTGGGAGTGAATTCACAGACGGGAATAATCTTTTCTTTGCTTGGAACACATGGTGATAAAGGAGAAGAAAAGCCAGATGGGAAGGGTGAAGAAGCACCACAGTCACCATCCATTAAAGCCAGTAAGGATGACTTTGAGGATATCAACTTGGATGAGGAGAAAGATTCTGATTCAAATGGAAAGGAGAAGAAAGACAAGGATGAGAAGTCCATCCTTCAAGGAAAGTTAACAAAACTGGCAGTCAGTATTGGTTGGCTTGGTGTGGCTGCTGCCCTCCTAACAATTATTGTCATGGTCTTGCAGTTCAGCATCAGAAAGTATGTCAACGAGAAAGCTTCTTGGCAAAGTGAGCACTTAAATGCTTACGTCAATGCCTTTATTACTGGTCTGACAGTGTTAGTTGTAGCTGTACCTGAGGGTCTGCCACTGGCTGTTACAATTTCTTTGGCATACTCTGTTAAGAAAATGTTGGATGACAATAATTTAGTCAGACATCTTGATGCCTGTGAAACCATGGGCAATGCAACAGCCATCTGTTCTGACAAGACAGGAACTCTAACCACAAATCGCATGACTGTAGTTCAGAGTTATCTAGCAGACAATCATAACAAAGAAGTGCCAAAACAAGGACAGCTGCCACAGACACTGGTTGAGTTGCTCTGTAAAGGAATTGCGATAAACAGTAGCTACGCTTCCAACATACTGGTGAGTAAACATTCTATGTCCGGTTGTTTGTTAGTAGATTTCTATATGTCAGTTGTGACAATAAAGGGCAAAAGAGGTCAAAAAAAGTCATCTATGTTTACACAAGATGATTCATCAATGAATAATCACAAAACAAAGAAATGTGTCATGTAATAGTGTGGTTGGTTTAGCTATTATATATAAGGTGCGTCTGTACTCACAAATAATGAAGAACACATTGCAGACAGTTCACAAGACTATCTACAAAAATCTGATTAAGGTTTTCATGTCATGACAGTTAACATTGTTGAAGGAAAAGTCGGTTTGAAATTTATTGCTGGAGGTTGGGAGGGTGGGAGTGGACTGGTCGATGTTTTAGTATAGAAAGGCTTTGTATATAACTCAGTGCTAATGAAAGCCAAATCAAAAGATGATATGTATCTCTCAATAGTTTTCCATCCAATTTATCGAGTTTATTCTGTAATTGATATTGATTAATGACATTTGCATCTTAATATCACAAACAGAACTAACAACATCAGTTCCCTTGTAGCTCTTGAGCTTGGTTTCCTGTTGTCCCTTTTGGCTTTCCCTTCAATGTCAATAGTAATCCCTTCTTGAATTATATTAGTAGCTTTACAAGCATAACATTAATCATTTCCAAATGATACTGAATTATTACTTTCTCCAAGTTAAAGCTTGTGAATGAATTTGACATTTTCCTTTTGAAAAAGTCATATATGTGCATGAATACATAGAAAGCCTCCCTAGAAAATGCGTGGTTTCGAAATTTTTGAAGGTGAACCAGAAAAGTACATGTAAGGTTTTCTTTTTTTTCTTTTTTTTTTTTTTGGCAGATAACCACAAAATCATTTGGATGAATTTCAATATAAGTACCAAAAGAAATGAGAGCAACATCTGCTAAAATCATCAGTATCCAATTGTACGTCTACAGACAGTTGAAGTTGTTATCTGCTGATATTAGATTTGGCTTCAGTAATTTTGACTAAAATTTGATCTATAAATACAGAAAAATTAATCATCAATAATTTTTCAAAACAAGGTAAACAAGAAGTATTGCCAAGGTCAGTTGCCTTATGCATCTTGCCCAGTGAAAATAGCAGTATCTCTGAGGTGTTAATTTCACCAACCTTTGCACAGGACGGGGAAAAAAAACAATAGAGAAATCTGTTTGAAATACACTGTTTTCCAATAGTTTTTTACTAGTAAACAGAAAGTTTTACTTTGAACCATGAAATAGTGGGCTTATTTTATTTCCTTAGGTTAAATAAAATTTGCTATTATTTTTTTTTGGAATTGTGTTATATTTTCAAGATAAATCCTGGAACAGATGGTAAACCTCAAAAACCATTTCCTAGTGTAACTAATTAACCCTCTTTCCTCAAGGAAGGAAAAACAGATGTTTTCTGCCCATATACTTTCCTTTTATGGCAGGCTTTCTTGTCATTTGCAGAGATGATATGTTTATTAAATGTTTTGGACTTTTTTCGTGCATTTGAATTGTTGTCATCATGCAAATGGAATGGTTATTGTATCTCTTTTTTAGTGTTATGTAAAATAAATTTAAAGTAGTTTTTTTATAAATCATAGCTATGATGATTTAGTGAAATAGCACTTGTTTGGTGGCCTGTAAATTTTTATTATTTTGTCATAAGTTGTCCAATAATCTCCTTGTACAAAAATCACAGGTACTTGTCTGTTTTTTTCATAAATAATATATGTTTGCAAAGTGAACAAAATTGTATACAATTTCTTTTATTTTGATGCTGGTGTGTCTGACACCTTTCATTTTCATTATTATTGTTACTATTATTCATGAAGTTTTATGAAAGCTCTCAAACTAGAATACTTTGTAGAAAGAAGCTGAGATCAAATGGGCAATCAAAAAACTTGCTATTCAAAAAAAATTTTTTTTTTTTTTGCAATATGCAAAATTGAGGCCTTTAACAAAAGTTAGTGTTGAGCAATCTGAATTCTGTAGTGTATTTTCAAAATAAAGTGGTAAGGAAAGCACTGTTAAGAAAATGCTGAACAATTTGTAGAAGATTTTGATATTAAAAAAGGTGATGACATAATGGGCTGAGGCAAGTTCCATTTTTTACTTGTTGGACTGGTTTTTAGACTGATCATGTTATGGTGTCCATAAACAGGGCTCTTTTTTAGTACCAGTTTCTGGCAAAATTTTGTTGGATTTGTTGCCATGATAATTTGTTTGGAAACATTGCGTCTATATCTGTGACATAAAGCAAAGTCTAACTTGAAAGTATTCATCAGTGGCCAGCTGCTGGCATTACCATTGCAATTGAAGTTAAGACAATGTTTTTGTTCTTTTTTTTCCCCAAGAAAAGAGATGTTGATTTTGCTTAGGATTTTATTCTTTTGCAGTGAATTGAATTTTTTATCTCTGGTTTTAGCCTTCAGAACTTCCTGATGGTCTCCCAACACAAGTTGGAAATAAAACTGAATGTGCATTGCTGGGCTTTGTGCTTGAAATTGGTGAAACTTATCAAGATTACCGAGATAATAACCCAGAGTCTAGTTTTGTCAAGGTCTACACTTTTAACTCTGCAAGGAAATCCATGACAACAGCTGTACGTCTCCCTGGTGGAGGATTTCGAATATATTCCAAGGGTGCATCTGAGATAATGTTGAGTCGCTGTACATCTGTCATTTGTAAAGATGGTGAAATCAAACCCTTTACAGCTGCTGATACTGAAAAGATGGTGAAAGACGTAATTGAGCCAATGGCCTCTGATGGTTTGAGGACCATCACCCTGGCTTACAGAGATTTCCCAGCCAATGGAGTTCCTCCTGAGAAAGGTTGGAAAATATTGAGTTATGAAAACTTGGTTCACAACAATCTTATCCTAATCACAATGCATATGAATTAACCCTTTAACATTTATGTGACCAGGAAAGAATTTCTCCTAACAATATTAATACAAAATTAAACAGACAAGTGATAAGAAGAAAGACAATTATCAATAAGGAATTATTAGTTGATCCAATACCAAGTTTTTTGAGATGACATTATAAGATTTGTATGGCAGACCATGAGGAGAGTTACTCATGAGACCTGGGGAATGAAGGCAAGTGAAAGGGTTCAACATAAGCTTTCTTACTCCTTGGACTGGTTGAGATTAACAAGGATATAATGACTTGTTGCAAACCAGACTAAATGTAGTACCTTAGGTGACATAATTTTATTTAAGGATGTTTGAAATTTGGAACAAATTTAGCTGCATTTAGGGTGCATTCAGCAGCAGTCATTCATTTTTCAGTCTAAATTTAGGATTTTTTTTTTGACTCGTTTGTTCCTGATCTACTCCACATACACAAATCATAACATCAATTCATTACCCAGAAATATTGAAGTGGCCTTTCTAATAATGTGAGACTCACTGCATTTTGATGTGTTGTTTAGTTGGAGAAGCTAGTGCAGAAATAGAGCCAGACTGGGAAAATGAAGGTGAAGTGTTGTCTAACATGACATGCATTGGAGTTGTTGGAATTGAAGATCCTGTGCGACCTGAGGTAAATTATACAACATGCTAACATCTTGTTAAGACTAAAGGTGAAAAAGGAGGCAAGTGTTCAGAGTTTGGAGTTTTGTGTTGTCTTCTTATAACTTGAACACTGAAGAAGGTAGATTTTAGGTGCTACCTAAGTGTCATATTCATAAGTATTTACCACAGGCTTTAAAATTTACTTTGTTTTGGTTCCTTTATCGTTTTTGCTAGGTTTTCTATGTTAATTGTGGTCTTTGATTATATGGATAATTTCACTTTATTACATTTGCACAAATTTTGTTACATGGTAGTGTAGATACAAGTTTTTGGGTTGTACTTAATTTTGTTTGGAATGGTTTGCTATTGTGAAATCTTTTTTCATCACTACTGTAGTTTTTATTAAGTTCCTGGTTCTTTTAGCATGTAACCTCCAGAGAAACTGACCCATTGTGGAATATTTTCAGGTACCAGATGCAATTTTAAAATGCCAGCGTGCAGGAATTGTTGTGCGCATGGTTACAGGTGATAATGTAAACACTGCCAGATCCATTGCTTTCAAATGTGGCATCCTGCAACCTAACAGTGAATTTCTTGTACTGGAAGGCAAGGAGTTCAACAAACTCATCCGTGACTCTTCAGGAAAGGTGGGCAGCTGTACAAATATGTACCTTGTAATTTTGTTTCTATTGGTTTCTATGGTGAACAAGAATTCAAAATGGCTTCTCAAGGGTAACCAGTCAACTCGCCGACGGACCAACTCGCCGACGCCAACTCGCCGACGTATAAAATCGAGTAGAGACGTCGGCGAGTTGGTCGTCAATCCAATACAACTCATTAGAAGTTAAACATACAGAAAATTAAACGATATTTAGTAAAAAAACACTGGTGAACATTGGTGAACATCAAACAGAAGCTTAAACATTGGTGAACATGTTTTCTTAAAAAATCTGAGCGATTGACATGATGAGTCTTTACTGTGTTGTTGTCACACAATAACTTGTTCGCGTCTGAAGCGGATATAGTAATTGGTGATGTTTACTTTACTTTATTCGCCTTGAGATCCTTATAAACTTTGTTTCAAATAAAAATAAATGCTTTTTACTAAAGATCTTATCTAGAAAGCCAAGTTTTCTTAAAAAATCTGACCGATTGTCATGATGAGTCTTTACAGTGTTGTTGTCACACAATAACTCGTTCGCGTCTGAAGCTGTTAGAGTCATTGGTGAGGTTTACTTTGCTTTATTTGCCTTAAGATCCTTATAAACTTTGTTGCAAATAAAAAGAAATGCTTTATACTAAAGATCTTGTCTAGAAAGCCAAGTTTTCGTTAAAAAATCTGAGCGATTGACATGATGAGTCTTTACGGTGTTGTTGTCACAATAACTCGTTCGCGTCTGAAGCTGTTAGAGTCATTGGCGATGTTTACTTTACTTTTTTCGCCTTGAGATCCTTATAAACTTCGTTGCAAATAAAAATAATTGCTTTTTACTAAAGATCTTGTCTAGAAAGCCAAGTTTTCTTTAAAAATCTGACCGATTGTCATGATGGGTCTTTACAGTGTTGTTGTCACACAATAACTCATTCGCATTTGAAGCTGTTAGAGTCATTGGTGATGTTTACTTCGCTTTATTCGCCTTGAGATCCTTATAAACTTTGTTGCAAATAAAAAGAAATGCTTTTTACTAAAGATCTTGTCTAGAAAGCCAAGTTTTCGTTAAAAAATCTGAGCGATTGACATGATGAGTCTTTATGGTGTTGTTGTCGCACAATAACTCGTTCGCGTCTTAAGCTGTTCTAGTCATTGGTGATGTTCACCAATGTTCACCAATGTTTAAGCTTCTGTTTGTTGTTCACCAATGTTCACCAGTGTTTTTTTACTAAATATCGTTTAATTTTCTGTATGTTTAACTTCTAATTAGTTGTATTGGATTGACAACCAACTCACCGACGTCTCTACTCGATTTTATACGTTGGCGAGTTGGCGTCGGCGAGTTGGTCCGTCGGCGAGTTTGACCGTAATTCTTCTCAAGTATTTGCTTCAAACAGCATCTTATAGTGGTCATATATCCAAGAGCTGGTCAAACTTTTCAAACAACTAACATATTTACTCGTGTATAAGTCAACCTTTTATGACCAAAAAATCATCCCAAACAATCACCCTCAACTTATACATGAGTCATACACAAAGACCTGTCCCAAGCAATCCAAGAAATTAGCATAACAATTGTCTGAAGTCTGTTAGGAAAACTACGTTTATAAAACTAGTTATAATTGTGTTTGAGTTTCGTCACTTTTCAGCACATTCTTTGTCACCAAAAAAAGGTTGAAATAATAAATTTTAAGTGGCTTGATTCAAAGCTACTGGAGCTAATTTCTATTGTGTCTTCAGACTGTAGAGCAGACATCTTTCCGTACTGCTTTACTGCTAGTTATGGAGCTGAACTTTTGTTTTCATCAAACGATTTCAGTAGCTTAGTGACCTGGCAAATGCTGTTGTCTCAGACAGTCTTGTTTGTTACGTGAGATCCTTCAAAGCTCTTAGGTATTCCTTCAGTCTACGTAATCTCCTTTCAAACTCAACTTTAAGATAAGGGTTGGTTAAATGCAGGAAGATTTCATTTTCAATGTGACTCACAAAATATGGTAAATTACTTATCCAGTAAATCAAAGTGTTCAAGTATGCTGAAATTGTGGTGATATAAACAGGTGCTAATAAAATTCATAGTGCATGGTTACATTTTGCTCTGCAGTTTTTTTAATTCTCCATGTTTTCAGTACATTATCAGAATTAAGGGATTAACTTTTTGGGAATTTCTATCTGAATTTTTCTTCTTTGACAAGAAATGATGAAAAATCTGATTTTTGACTTTGAAAATGGGGGGTCAACTTATACACAGGTAAATATGGTAAATGACCAGCAGTCTGAAATTTTTCTGAAAATTTGACAAATCAAGGGATCTTATACAATCTAAACTATCATATGATAAGGAACTGCAAAGTGATCTTGAGGGGATTTTTAAATCTAATGTCAAACACTTGGTTAAAGCTTTCTTAGAATACAGAGCCATGGACATTGACACTTCAGAAATTATGTGAAGTCCACTTCAGGTTATGGTTCCTTAATAACTAGATGACCTGCAGTTGCAAATTTTTTAAAAAATTTCAAAAATCAAGAGAATCCATATAGTCCAAAATATTATGTTTTTATAAGAAACTGCTAACCAATCTCAAGGAAATTCATAAATCTCATGTCAGTTGCATGATTTTTGTAGGCTCAGAATACTTAGAAATTCTGTGATGTGGACTGCTGGCCATGGCTCTCAAATTACTAAATGACAGGCAATTGTAAATTTTTGTCAAAATTTCATAAATCAAGACAACCTATATAATCCAAACTAGTAGATATCGACAAGGAACTGATAAGCTATCCTTAGGAGATTTATAAATCTTATGTCTAATATTCAGGTTATGCTGGGGTTCTGTACATGTTAAAGGAGGTGCATGGAAAGAAACAAAGCAGTAGACAGGTTGAGACAAAAACACCAAAATAGTTGGCACATTAAAGCAACAATTTCACAAGCAAATATTAACCCCCCTTGTAGCCACCCTTTCCACCAGTTAATTAAAACTTTCAGAAAGTCACAAATGGTGTACATGAACTGGTAATTCCTCAGGGTAACATGGGAAAAGGATTGATTTTCTTGAAAACCCAACATCAGCTTATTTTATAAATCCAATATATCTTTCATTTCCATGAAATGTACAGGAGAGAAAGAAATGTATGATTTCTTGCATTAAAAAAGGTGGGGATAAAGTGGTCAGGAATCTGTCAACTATTATAAATATGTACATTATTAACATCAGAAAGGAAAATGTCACTGTCTTTCATCATGAAAATGGCCAAGACAAGATGAAAAACTTTGTTGTTTCACAAGTCCATATCTGTTTTTAAAAGAAACTGAAAAACTACCAGAACAATTTAAAATCAAGGCAAAACAAAGTCATATTTCTGACCATTTACTCATGCAGATTGTAAAGCAATTTTTGTGACCAGTAGTTGAGGAAGTATAGCTACTTGACTTCTGAAGTTTAGGATCCTTTTCATTTACAAGGAAATACAAATCAAATATTTTAGCAGTTACAATTGCAGTGATAGTCAACCTTTCCTTATACTTTGCAGTTAATTTTTTTGTCTGCAACTGTTGTTTTTCCCATCTTGGACAGTGCAACCAATATATGATGTATGATGCTAAAAGGTCTACTGCCATCCAAGTTTTTGAAACAAAGCTTGTACATATGAACATGTTTTACTGTACAGGTTAGCCAGAAGAAGTTTGATGAAGTGTGGCCCAACTTACGTGTATTAGCTCGATCCTCACCCCAGGACAAGTACACTCTTGTCAAGGGCATCATTGACAGCAAGCTTAATCCAACACGGGAAATTGTGGCTGTGACTGGTGATGGTACCAATGACGGTCCAGCACTGAAGAAAGCTGATGTTGGCTTTGCCATGGTAAGATTTCTATTTCCTGAATTTCTTAAACATCACAGTGGCTTACAGATATTGCAAACTAAAACTTCATCCAAGTATGAATAATATTTTCAAATCACACTGTCAGCATTTTTAAGAGTCTAAGAGCCAGATATACATACATACATACATACATACATACATACATACATACATACATACATACATACATACATACATACATACATACATACATACATACATACATACATACATACATACATACATACATACACACATACATACATACGTTTATTGACCACTTCCCCAAAGGGGCTTTTCAGTGCCAATTACAAAGGAAAAGATAAAAATAAAAACATATACAAATAATTTAAAGTTACAATTACATATCATTAGGATATATGGATTACAATACTACAAAACTAGCATTATTCTCCATAAATTTGCACATTGTAAGGTACAAATGACATGTGGATAGAGTACAAATATCCTGCCATATTGAACAATTGGTTATTTTGTATTGTAGAAAAACCTGTTCAACTGGTCATCTGCACATATTATGCTCTCTATCTGCTTTTCTTATTAGACATTTTGGTGTGTAGTAATGCTTAATAGCAGAGCTCACAGAGCATAGCCCCATAATTATAAAAAATGGTAGTAGCAACCCATCAAGCTGAAAAAATTTGGACTTATGACTGTACGACCGTACGACTGATCATACAAGGTGCTACTTTTAATGTGTGTGGTCAACTGTACTGAGGGCATGCCAACACCATGGCTTTGTCCAGTAGTCCAGTGGTCAGTACACTGGGCTCTGAGTCAGGAGACCTGGGTTCTAGTCCTGGCTGGGGCAAGGTGTTGTGCCCTTGGGATGTGTAGGGGAAAAAAATGTGAGCTCTGCTTTTAGGCTTGGCTAAAGCTATATATTATTTTTACTCATTGTTTGTCTTTTGGCTTGCCTCACTAGCTTGTCAAAGTACAGCACAAATCATTAAAATACTCAGCTAAACTGTACACCACAATATTAACTAATATTAACACAACATTACATAATTACATGGGTCACTCCCCTACTTCATTACTAATTTACATAGTGACTATTCTTGATGTCTAGGTAGCAGTTCAAACTTGAACATGATCCTGTCTATGTTTTAGGGTATTGCTGGAACAGATGTTGCTAAAGAGGCATCTGACATCATTCTAACTGATGATAACTTTAGGAGCATTGTTAAAGCTGTTATGTGGGGGCGCAATGTCTATGACAGCATCTCAAAGTTTCTGCAGTTTCAGTTGACTGTGAACTTGGTTGCTATTGTTGTTGCCTTTATTGGTGCTTGTGTTGTTCAGGTAAGGTACATGTACGAGTGCTCATTAATGTGGGCTAATTTAATTAGTTAGCCAGTGACAAACCATGTATGAAGTAACATTAAAACCCCATTTTATTCATTAGAAAACAAATGCTTCAAGAATGGAATGAGTTAATGCACAGATATGTGACATAAGAAAATTATCCTTATTACTGGAGCGTCCTTAGGAAAGCACCAGTCTCAAAGTGCAAGCCATTTTTTTTCTCTTTTGGTCCTCAATTCAGCATCATAGTCTCAGGTGTTCTCAAGGGAGATGCAGATAACTGGGTATGAGAATCTCAACCATCCCTACCAGGTTTACCTCTGTCCCCAATATCCTGCAAACACCTGAAAGGGGGGTAACAAAGGCTGAAATTTTAGCCAGGTTATAACCATAACCATAATTGTCAGACATATGCTAAAATCATCAAGTTAGTTTTCCCTTCTTTTTGCTCCATTCTTGATCAAAGATGGGAATATTTTGTTGCACTGCTGTAGCTATTTTACTTTGTGTCTTCAAGTTGATTTTTCCTCTTCTATTTGGCTGCCATATGACTATATATGTTACACACACAGAGTCCTTGAAATTTGTTTTAAAAAATGCTACAAACCGTAAACAAATCCACAAGCAAGTTTGAGTCAAACCTTCAATAGCATCTACTTGGACTTTTAATTTGTTGAAGAAGTGTAAGTAAACTTTGACAATGGAAAGTCTCCATAGGTTCATACTAATCAACAGCAAGCTTGCTTTTAAAATACCTTCCTTCTCAGGTTCTTTCTATTTAGTCTCTTTTTTTTTTAAAGGTAAGTCCTCTGACTGGCACACAGCTTCTTTGGGTGAACCTAATTATGGACTCCTTTGCATCACTGGCCTTAGCTACAGAGCCACCAACAGAAGACCTCTTACAACGCAAACCCTATGGACGCACCAAACCACTTATCTCGCGAACAATGATTAGAAACATTCTTGGTCATTCAATATTCCAGCTGATTGTCATGTTTGTCCTGGTATTCCTGGCAGATGATTTATTTGATATAGAAGACGGTTACTTGGAAACAACACGCTGTAAACCAACAGCTCACTCTAGCATGGTTTTTAATACATTTGTTATGATGCAACTCTTTAATGAAATTAATTCACGTAAAGTTCATGGAGAGAGAAATGTGTTCTCTGGTATTACCCATAACCCAGTGTTTCTTATTATCATGGCAGGAACATTTGTAGTGCAGGTAAGGGTCAAGAGTTGAGTTGTTCAATTTTAATCTATTTTGAAGAGTGATTAAGGATGTAAATGTTCTATGAATTCTTTGTTCTATTTTGGATACAGTGATTGTTGAACTTAATTAACCCTTTAACTCCTAGATCTAATTTGTAATTCTCCTTACTGTCAACCATACAATTCTTATAATGTTAGTTCAGAGAATTTAGTATAGGATCAATTAATTATCCCCAAATTGATATCTTTCTTTATTTTCATCACTTTTCTGGTTGATATTATATTGATATTGGGAGAAGAAATTCTGTCTTGGTCACTCATGGGAGTTCAAGGGTTAATTTGAAAATCAACATTTTGAACATTCATTTGGTATAAGTTCATATGATTTAGAATGTTTTAACAGCCTTTGTTGATTTTTCAGATTCTAATAATTGAGCTGACTGGTAAAGCCTTCCATGTAACAGGACTGGGCTGGGAGGAATGGCTTTGGTGTGTCTTTCTTGGATTTTCTGAGTTGCTATGGGGACAACTTGTCCTTACAATTCCCAAGACATCATTCCCAAAGCTTTGTCGATTTGGTACAAAAGAACTTCCCCTTGCGACAATAGTGGAACCTGATGGACCAAAGGACAGCAAGGCTCGTCTGTTGTGGATACGTGGGCTGACGAGATTGCAACACCAAGTAAGTAATTGTTATAATACCAAACCAATTCTTTTTTCTTTGTTTTGAGTGTCTGAAAATTCTTTGATATGGTAACTCGCATGTCAAAAAAACTACTCAGAATCTCTTTATCAACAAATATTTTTGAGATCTGATGTTCTGTTAATTAAAAAAATTTCTCTTTTTTTTTCCAACTCAAAGTTGGACTCTAAAATTCCCATTTATACCTTGAGTGTGTCTTCCTTTGGTTAAACTGCATGTATATATCTACTATTAATCAAGTTATGTGGCCACGGTAGTAGAATATCAGCTCTCTGTCCTTTTTGTGTACCACCTCAATGCAATTACTTTATGCTTAAAAAAAAATGCTATGGACAAACATTCTTCCAGTATGGTCCTGAGCTGGTTTGCTTTATACAAGACTTAAGGCAGGATTGGAAACAACCCTTAGTTGACTAATTGATTTCTCTTCTTTGGCAAGGTTTTAGAAGATAGCAAAGTTTCACCAAACTTGAAAAGCAAATCTTGTGCTACATCATTAAATGGTGATATACACTTGTCTGCGCTTGGACTGCTTTTTCAATTAGAATCCAAGACTTATCGTGTATTTTTGTTCACTTGCCTCTGCAATATACAATATACAGTATACAAAATCCCTTGATTATTCATCAAGCAATGAGTACTCTCTGCAGCAAAGCATGATGTACACTTATTTCTTTCTTGTTCAATCCATTGTAGTGTGTGGTTCCTTAATGACTATGGGGTTTTATTTTACTTAGATCCGAGTGGTAAATGCATTCAGAAGTGTTATTGATGGACGAAGTCAAAGAGCCATTGCATCTCCAGCAGTATTTAATTCTTTGCTAGCCCCTGTGCGAACAGCAATGGTTTATGATGATTCACAGTATCCATCTGCCTTGGATAGCACTGAGCCTGGAGCTGAAGCAATACAGCGGTATGCAAGTGTGGAAAGCTCTGTCTAAGATGCCAAATTTAGTGTTGTTATAACATGATTGAAATTATTGTCAGTAAATACTAGTGAAAGGGTTTATCACTTTAAATGTCTTACATGTTCATTACCATTAGATTAGTGCTTGATCACTATCATTAAGGTCACTTGGCATTGCTGGTTCTTTCATGAAATTCAACAGGCCACTTTTCTGTTGGACTTAAGTAACTCTACACTGAAACACAGTAAAGCTAATTCACAGGACATTGAGGCACTTAATGTGCTCTATGCTCTATGTTGCTACTGATCACTCTTATCAGCCTCTGTATTGAAAATCAAAAGTAGAGAAATAACACTAACTTGAGAACTAACCATACTCTTTTATGAATTAAACTATCTTTGATATAACATTTTCTTAATCTATGCAGGTGATCATGATTGCTGTGGAAGTCTGTGTGGACAGATTAAAATTCTCCTCCTCTGTCTTAATCCTTTTGGTCTCCAGAGTAGATAGAACCAAGTATAAAATTTTAACTGACAGATGTTTAAATCTAATTTGCAAGCAGTTCAAGTCAACTGAGTCATAGTAAAGAGTACAAAATGATTAAGTAGCCCTTTCCTTTTATACTTTATCTCTTGCTCAGGAAAGCCGTTGAATGTCTCACAGATTGCTTATGACAGTGGTTTGAAATTCAGTGGTTAATAGGATCAGTATGCATTGATATCAGAAAATTAATTTGTCAGGAATTTTTTTACCAGCTTTACTCTTAACATCTCCTCTATGCTAAAGGTGCTTTTTCCATTGCTGTTGTACTTCCTCACTTGAAGTGTCAAAAAACAGTGATTAAATTAGTACATTGGCTTTTTAATTTTTTCCTCTTACTTTTCTCTGTATCCTTTAAGGTAACCTTCCTTAAACTTCACTATAGCTATGATTGAGTTTTCTGGATCCTTAGTTAATTGTCAGAAAGTATTTCCCTATTTTCATTGAGTGTTGGAAGAGTTTTCAGAACAAAATAAGTCAACATGCTGCAATTACTAAGGGATTGAATATTTCATTTATATGTAGAGAATTCTTAGTAGGTTCCTTAAGGACAGAATGATATTTTAATCTGTTCAAAACCATTTGAAATCATTTGGCAAGTGATCAACTGTTTATCTAAAATGTATAATTTTGGTGATATTTATGTAATTATATATTGAGACTGCAATTACAATGCCATTTTTGCATTGTATTGTTTCAAGGGTTGGTCAGAACTTTACCATTCACAAAATCTCAAGGATTCTACCAGAAATTTTAGGAATTGAACCCATTTGTTACTTTTGCACCTTGCATTTTATATTTTTTTAATTGTTTTCTCAGACTGGCACTTTCACACCAGGAAATTTAGACATACAGTTTAAGTGTTAATTTTGTTTCTCTATTGGGGCCAAGTGGTAAACTATGGATGGTTCAAAAGAATCATCTACTAAGGGAGAAATGACAGGTCAATTCTTCCTCTCTTTACCAATGAAATGTGGAGGAAGCAGTTTTTTCGAAACATGAGCCAATCATTTTCAGGTGACAAAGGTTAAACTCCTTTATGTATTTAGAAAGTTTCTTGTTACAAAGGTAACTGAGAGCTACTAATAGTTACCTGTGTAACTTACCCGACTTCAGAAGCTTTCTAGATAAATATGCTGATGTCAAACCAAAATCTAGTTAAGATGGCGCTAAGGTGGTAGTTTTAGATATAATTAGTTTAAATTTCAGTTATAAACAATAGTGGAGTTGAGGTCTTTTCTAGATCTTACTATAGCAACAGTGTATTCCTTATAGCTGTCTGTATTTCTATTTTTTTAAAATTGATTGCTCCAAACGGCATTTCAATATTTGGAAGTTAAGATGAACGAGTTGTCTATTTTTAATTAATTATTTATTTGCTGTACCATGATTCAAGGCGGGATTCAATGGAGAGTCTCGCCATAGCGTACTGAAGGTACTGTAGTATTACCAATAGGATCCTTTGCATTATCATTATGATAAAGATATTATAGGGAACTCCCGTGTAACATGCGTAATAAAGGATATAATCTTACGCTTTCGGCTTGGTTTGATTGTACAGAATTTTTCTTCAGCTAATGTTTTGTTTAATGAGAGGCTGCAAGAATAATAATTTCTGTTCCTGTATGTACAAGTGTTGATTGGATCAGGTCCATGAATTACACAGTGTTATATGAATATTTTTAGACACGCTGTTGTGATGATACACGAATTTTAATCTCACCGCGTGTGTTACTAAGGTCCAGACAGAGATCACATGATGGGTGATCATATCAGGGTACGAAGTACAAAGAGACACAAAAACAAGTCGTTGCCGCTAAAATCGGGGCTGTCCTAAAACGATGATTAGTAAGAACCTTTGCTTTTTCCAACCTCGTTCCCAGGGTCTCTCATCTTCCCGCCCCCCCGGAGCGATAAAAATTATATATAACTGGTAAATCTTGAAAATTCGAAACAACTTCAAACGTGGGTGCATGCAATTAGCAATATTGGATCCGCCCCCTCCCTAGAAAGTAAGTTGTGTGCATTTATTATTATCTTATTATATTGTGAAGTTATTATTCAGTGTTAGATCAGTAATTAATCGCGAAAAATTGGACTGAAGATTCAGTGCAGAGACAGTGCCATGAAAGCGAGAGGAAAACTAACGGTAGGATACACCTCACCCCTCCCCTACAATAGAGAGAACAATTTGGCCGTGTAGTCCCGGGAGGGTTAGGAAATTTCTGGGAAATGTTAGCGAGAAAAACATAGTAAGTGCTTCATTGGCCATTTGTTTCGGGTGAGTGTAGTTTTTTCCTCAGTTAACTGCACACAGGTAAGGAAATTACATAAAAATTAAGGTAATGAAGGTAGTGACTCACTAACCATCTTTTCAGCGAGTATATTAGCTTAAGGAGACTTTGTACTTCTTCGCACACTACTTCTTACAAAGGTGCTAAATTTTTTTTCCCGTCTTTCATAATAGATTTTCGTGTGAGATATATATCAAACACATTTAGACCTCGTAGTTCAATTTTATCTGTGCGATTTTTATCGAAACTCGATCACGTCTCTCGCTATAAACCACTCGCTCAGTCACGAGGGTTTTCAAAGGGCTGAAAATATTGCCATTGTCTCGAACATCCAGACTGAATATAATTTGTTTTGTACCTAGGTGAACAGCTATAACGATCATTTTCATCATACCTATTATTATCATCAGTCTTGACTCGCGCACAGTCTGTGACCGTCATATTTCAAAATGACGGACGAAACAGACTCGGGGTTTAGGCCTAATCTCACAAACACTACAAAGGAGAAGCTAGTGGAGGTCATGAAAAGTAGGGGAGTTGAAGCCGCTGCTGTTATTGAAGAAAAGTTTGGAGATGTTAAGCACTTGACACACAAGCTTCAAACCTCGATGAACAGGGGAATAATTGGAATACACGAGGATGTGATGCACAGGCGAGCAGAGTTTGGAAACAACTTTATGCCTCTGGAACCTACTAGACCTCCTTTACAATATCTTTTTTGTGCTTTGAAGGACAGGGTGATACTGATTTTGTTTATAGGAGCTTTGCTCTCTGTAATTCTGGGGGCTGTCTTTCCTGAAAGATGTGAAGGTCGAAATGGTTTGGCTGTAGCAATGTACGAGGGTATCGGAATCATGAGTACCGTAATGATAATGATTCTGTTGGTGGCTTTTAGTGACTATCTTAAAGAAAGTCATTTCCACAGTTTGCAGTCCAAGATCAACAGAGAACGTAAAGTTAAGATTATCCGTGGAGGTATTGTATTAGATCTTCTTGCTTCAGAGGTGGTTGTGGGTGATCTGTGCCTGTTGAATAAAGGAACTCTTATCCCAGCTGATGGAGTGGTTGTTCAGGAAAATGATCTTCTTGTCAATGAATCAACTTTGACAGGCGAGAAGAGTATGGTCTCCAAAGCAATAGACCCCCTGGTATTTGCTGGCACCCATGTTGTCAATGGAAGTGGCAAAATGATTGTGTTGGTTGTTGGTCCCAATACCCAGATCTACAAGAGCAACAATCAGTTTGCTACATCACCCACTGCTATTACATTTAAGGCAGTTTTCCCCAATGAAGCAGTTTTGAATATCAATTCAGTTTCTTTTGACCACAAGGAAGATAATGCTATGCTTCAACAAAAAGTTAATAGGGTTGAAGTTGCTCTTGGTCATATCGGCATCATCCTGGCAGTAGTTGCCATCTTAGTTATAGTCATCCGCTTTAGTGTGCACACTTTCTCTACACAAGGACAGTCCTTTGAGCCTGGTCTCATTAATGAATACATCAAGTCCCTAATCATTGGTGTTGTTGTGCTTATCATTGCTGTCCCAGAAGCCCTCTCTCTAGTGGTGTCATCCTGTCTGGCATTCTGTGTCAAGGAGATGTACAATGACAAAGCATTGGTGCGACATGTAAACATGATAGAAACAATGGGAAATATTACAAACATCTGCTGTAACAAGACAGGGGTTCTTACCCAGAATCGCATGGTAGTACAAAAGAGCTACATTGGAGAACAAGTCTATCTTTTTCAGGAGGACTTACGAGGGTTCAGAAGCAACATCCCAAAAAACCTGTTTGAAGATCTGTGCAAGGCAATATCCATCAACACAAGTTATTCAGCACAGATCCTGGTTTGTATATAATTATTTCTAGGTGCAGTGACATCTTTTTGTCTGTCAAACCTTTTATTTGTATTGGTATATGGTTAAATATATTAGATTTCGTAAGGGATGTGAATGTGCTCCTAGAGGTTTTTCATTGATCTAATCTCAGAATAACTCAAAGACTAATCACATACATATAATGTTATGAAGCTTCATGAAACAAAACAAAGACAGGTCCAACAAAATAGGAATGGCACAGAGAAAAAAAATGCTCACCAATTACTTATGAAATTTGTTTTACTAATTAAAACCACTTTGTCCATGGTAGCCTTGTTTTTTCAAAACATGTCAGTAGTTAAGAACTCCAAAAGACAATCATTTATTTGACTTGATGCTTCGGAAAATTTCCACAAATAGAACCTGTTTTGTCTTTGATTCAAATGTGGGTTAGAAAGTGAAATAATGAAATATCTCAGAAATACATGGCACAAACAATTACGTATTATCAGTCTATCAATTTAGCTCAATAGAATTCCACAATGTTATTGCTATGTTAATAACTTAAGTTTCTTGCTCCTGACAAATATATACAGCAATGAATTACTATTACCTGAGGAGAGTAGTTGGTCAGAATTGAAGTCCTCTACTCAGATATGGTTGAAAACTGTTTTCATCTTTAAAAATTTTAATTTTTTAATGATTTTGCAATAAAATATATTATTTGGTCTAAGACTATAAGTAAGACACACTGATCACAATTATGAAGTATGGAATTCTTTTTGAGGAAACAAATTAAAGATAACATTTATAGAAATTGAGAAATTGCCTGTAAACAAATTTAAAGTTTCAGGCAAAATACATTTACTCCTGATTGTTAATTTTGAAAGTGGTCTAGAGTCATCTGAATTTTAGCAGGTGAGCTTTTAATTGATAATCAGTGTCAAGGTAAACAAGTGTCTGAACTTTCATTTGCCAGTTTTCACTCTGTTTTGAAGAGTGGGATGTGGAGATCAACCACTCAATTCTCCAATATGAGAAGGATTATTGGGTTCAGAATTTATGAATTGCAAGCACACAACAGTACACTTCACAGTGCAAACTCTGTTTGGACTCACTAACAAAGAGCCTTTCTTTGACTTTAGCTCCAACCAGTTATAGATGGTTCTGTATTAGCTTAAATTGAGAAGGTATCACATGCCTCAAGATCTTAAGGAAGGGTTGGCTAATATACAATAACATATTTTGTTTCTTGAGAGATATAAAATGGATTTTACATTGTTTAAAAGTATACATGAATCTTAAACTGTACCCTCTTATCCTTTTGCCTGTAGGAGGGAGGAAAGGACAACATTCCTAAGCAGAGTGGTGACAGGATTGACGCTGCACTGTTGCAGTTTCTGTTCCAGTTTGGAGAGTACTACCAGTCCTGGAGAGATGACTATCCTGAGAGCAAGTTAATTAAGGTTTTTGAGTTCACACCTGACCGCAAATGTATGAGTACTATTATCAGTGGTAATCAAGGAGGCTATCAGCTTTATTCCAAGGGAGCTGCTGAGGTACTGCTTGAACATTGCACTCATATTGTTGGAATCAATGGGGACCTGAAAGAATTAACCAAGGAAAGTGTGGAGAATCTATCAAGAGATGTGATTGACCCTTGGCAGCAAGAGGGCTTGCGTATTCTTTGTCTAACAACAAAAAGTATATCTCCTGAAGGTAAAATTATTAAGTTTTTTTAGCCTAACTTACTTATATATCCACACTTATTCATGTATCTTTTATTTATATTTGTTGGATAATGCACATCCTTGCTCTGTGATACATTTAGATTTAAATTGTACAGAATGTTGGCTGAGGAAGATGACATGGTTCACCACAGTATTTTGGGCAAGCGATTTACAGAAAGGGTCACATTGGAAATTGTGGTCAACAAGATGACATTTTGTTAGATGTGTAAATTAAAGAAACTTAAAGCTGTTATGTTTTCATTGAAAATAAGCAAGTTATTGAAATATGTTTTCCCGTAAAAACAATTCAATTTTTTGTGGCTACTGGCTCCTATAGGAGGCAAAGCCACATATGTCATTGAGGTGAGTGAGGGAGTGAGTGGTGGTAAAATAGAATTCTGATCTTGACCCAATTTTGAGCTGATTGTTTCCCAGGGCTACTTATTGTTTGTTTCAGAGTATCTAAGTAGTTTGACATTTTCACTCCAATCCACAGCTGAATTCTCTCCTTTTGTGATTTCTGGGTTATAGCAACTAACACATTATGTTATCATCCTTATTCTTATCTCAACCACTACTTATTTTAAAAACAACTCACAACTCACAAGAGAGTTATCCAGTAACACTTTTTGTGAGTGGTTTCAGTTTTTTTAAATTCTCTAAAGTTTCAACAAAACACTTTGAACAAGGTAACTGCTACTGAATTTCAGAGAGCTTTAACTTCACTGACCTCTACAGAAACAGTCCTTGCTTTCAACTAGTTTCTTTTGCTTTCTTTGTTTGAGTATAGTAGCTGTCATCTGTCTGTCTCTGAAAGATGACGAGGTAGTGTCGGTTGAATTTTTTTTGGCATCTTTGCGAGAGGGTGTGGAATCCAACATACGAATGACACTCCCTGATGCAGGTGTTGCCTGTAAAAACAGACGCGTGCCGAGGCTGCTGACAAAATTCTTTCTCCCACATCTCGTTTCAATGAGATGTTCAGTCCTTGTCTTCTCAGCTTCATGTATACCCCTGCGACAGTGATACACCAAGTGGAAAGATCTTCTGCACTTGTTTCCCACATGTCTGTGTTGATGTTGCAGGCTTTCAAGTCTCGTTTGCACACATCTTTGTAGTGTAGGCATGGGCACCCTGTCAGTCTTGAGCCTTCTACTAGCTCACCATACAAAAGATCCTTGGAGATGGGGCCTGGGTTTGCAAAGGATGAAGTAAATGCCATTCCCATTGACACGTTCTTGGACTTCTGTGTTTGACACTTTGTCCTACCACTTGATGCACAAGATATGTAGCAGGCATCTCAGGTGGAATGTGTTGAGTTTCCTATCATGCCTTGCATAAGTGGTCCAGGCTTCACTGCTGTAGAGGAGAGTGCTGAGTACACAGGCCTGGTACACACACAGTTTGGTCTTCGGAGTGAGACTTGGATTGTTCCAGACCCTCCTCTTCTTTGTTTGAGTAATACCCCAAATTAAACATCTTCAGTCTGGCTAAATAATACACATTTGAAAAAGAAGGAAATATTTTGAAATTTTTCCTCTTCATTTTATTTTTCTTTTTATCGGGCACAAATGTATTAAAGAAAGTGTTCAAAACAGTGGAGACTAATGAATGTGTCAGCATTAATTTGTTGGCTTGAAATAACATTTGTTTCAATCAGTAGCAGACCAGTGATAGATCACATATTTTGAAAGTTAGTATACAACCAATGCCTAATTTTAGGCTCTTGTTTCATTCAAGGAGTCTTGTTTGGCATATTTGTAAGTATTTTTCTATGTTAAAATTGCAAGTTTCAGCAAATTGTGAAAAGGGACATTTTTTACTGGATGTAGATAAAGTGTTGAATTTTAAAGAGCATGAGGAACAGCTTGAAATAATATTTGAAGCAGAATTTTGATTTAGACCAGGAGAATATTTTAATTTTGTTCAGACATTTAGTAAAAGGTACCAAAATATGGGATCAAGAGTTATCAAGGGGCAGTTTCCTAAGAGGTCTGACCAAAGATCAAAGAATTAGATTTAATTATATTTAGCATCTTTTGCTACTGGCTTTGAGTCACACATAAAAGGTTAGACAATCTAAGAAATGTTCAAGAACAACTCTTGTAAGTTCTTAGCTCAAATGCTGCAATTTGAAGTCATCAGTCTGACCAGTCATCAGTCTGACCAGTTATCAGTCTGACCAGTCATCAGTCTGACCAGTCATCAGTCTGACCAGTCATCAGTCTGACCAGTCATCAGTCTGACCAGTCATCAATCTGACCAGTCATCAGTCTGACCAGTCATCAGTCTGACCACTTTGTTGAACTTATAATTAGTTACAACTTCTGTTCTTTGTTAATATGTAAAATGTTTTTTACCATTTCACTCAAAGACAGTATCAGTGGTGTAGAGTTTCAGTTTCAATAACTGACAAACTATATTTCTTTTTCCAAGATGGTGAGGGTCTATTGAAGAAAAGAGAAAGTGAAATTCTGTCAGGCTTGACACTCCAGGGGATTGTTGGCATTGAAGATCCAGTGAGAGAACAGGTTTGGTGGTTATCAGCAGATGCTTTGTGCTATTTTGCTGTTTAATCTGCATTTACTTTTGCAGCCATGAAACTGTAATAATTGTTCATTTTGTCCTAAAACTAATAGTACTTCAGAGTTTTTTCACCTACAGTGTAGTATTTGCATTAAGTTAAGAGATATATTTTATTTAAGGTAGTTGGTTCAAAAAATTTTTTGTGACGTCAATTTGTTTTCAAATATAATATCTTTATTCCAAGGTGCCATATGCAATAGGGCAATGTCAGAGAGCTGGTATAACTGTGCGTATGGTGACTGGTGATAATATTATCACTGCTACATCTATAGCTGTTAAATGTGGTATCATCAATAAATCTGATGAAGAGAGTCTTGTGTATAATGGGAAAGAGTTCAACTCATACATCCACGACCCTGACAAAAAGGTAATTGGTTTTGAAAGCATTGGATTGTAATGTGCAACTAAAAAGCTGCTAGTAACAGGAGCGATAGAAGGTTTTCCAATTATTTGTCTTTCTTCACAAGTTTTGAAAAAGGGCCTAATTTTGACTTAACTTACCTTTGTTAAGTACAGTTACATGGTTGAGAATTTTAATTTTTCATGGTGTATGAATGTAATTAGAGGCAGCCTGGCTTGGTTTGCCAAAAGGCAACCAACACTGGAATGCAATTGGTGCATGATTAAGCTCAAAATTAATATATGACACATGACATGAGGGGACGCAAATAGTCTGTACTGTAAGTATCCCGGAGAGTCCCCTACATTTTCTTAGACTTTTAGTCTAAGAAAATGTATGGGGACTGTAAGGTGTCATAATCCTGTTGCTGCTGACATCGATGTGACAGATAATTGCTTTTGCACTGTTTTCTTTGCCGGCTTATACTTGTCATCAAGTTTCAATAAGACGGCTATCATTTTTCACAAGAATAATGAAGTTTTTGTAAATTGTGAGATCAGATGGGATTAAAATGGGATTAAATCACCTACAGAGCTTGATATGTACTTACAGTGCAGACGATTTGCATCCCCTCATGTTCACAGAAAGCAGAAAGGCGAGGTAAGGTGAGACTTAAAGTTTTCCCTTTAAATTTGCGATACATGAAATACTGTTTACAGTACACATGATGCATGAATTTGCTTAGGGCTAGGGTTAGGGTTCCCTTCAAAATTTTTTCATGAGACCCCTCTTTGCCACCATTAAGGCATACTACTGTTCCACATGTTTTGGTGAAGTTGCATGCAACATAATTGTACTGGTCCAAAGGACTGCAAAAGTATATTGGAGTAGGCATTATGGTAATGCAGAATTTAGAAACAACTAATTTGAGTTTTCATCTTCAGATTAACATTGACCGGTTTAATACCATGTTGCCCAAGCTATGTGTCCTGGCAAGAGCAACGCCCCTAGATAAGTACATTTTAGTGAAAGGAATAATGGAGAGTCATGTAAACCGTGCTGGGGAGATTGTGGCTGTGACTGGATCAGGAGCTAATGATGGGCCAGTCTTAAGAATGGCAGATGTTGGTTTCACTATGGTAAGAGTACCAGGAATCTTTCTGTTTTACTGTATACATCACTGATTATTTTTATTAGTATCACTTACCTTACCATGTGAGTCACCTAACCTATTATTATCATTACGCATTTTAACTATCCACAAGTTATGGCTTTAGTTTGGAGCAGTCGACCATGTAATCTGATGAAATCAACATCTGTGTCTTAATAAGGCTTTCCTAGTTAATGGATGGGTTATCAGCCCTCTTGTTAGTCCCTAAATAAGAGAGCCAGTAGAGGTTTCCATCCACCAAATTCTTGCTGTGAGAATTGTCTCCCTAGGTTTGAAATGAAATTTGTAACACTTATTTGAAAATGTTTAACTAGTGAGCAGCCCTGCACAAACACAAATTGTTAACACTTGTTTTATTCTCCTACACATTTCATCTGACAAAAGCAAACTTTGCCAAGGATTCCTTTAAAGAAGTTAAAAAAATTTCAATTCATCTCAGAATTTGGCTGCTTTCAAAACAAGGAAAATAACATTTTTCACCTTTGAAATCAGCACTAACTAGTCTTACGCTAAGAGCTCACTAGATTTATGGTTTCTTCAAGTTCAACCCTAAGGCCACTGAATTCCCCTCTGACTTGCCTTCTCAATGTTGTGGTTGAATTAAAAAATGTAGTTTATGGCTATACATTAAAACATTGCCAGAAAATTAACAGGAGTGGGCAAGTGCTTACTTATCCTTTCCTTTTTCATAATTTCCATTTACCATTACAATCTTGGTATTCTAACAGTCATCTTTATGTTTCAGGGAGTGGCAGGAACAGACATTGCCAAGGAAGCCTCTGATGTTATCTTGTTAAATGATGACTTCAGCAGCATTGTGAATGCCATTAAGTGGGGACGTCATATCTACCACACTATCCTCAAATTCCTGCAATTTCATTTTACTGCCTGCTGGGTGGCTGTTATTGTGGTGATCTTTGGAGCAGGCTTTGTGGGGGTAAGTTTACTGTACTGTTCATGATAAAGAGGATTGCTCATCATGATTATCAATGAATAAATTCACCTTGGTGATTAGTCATCTCTGCATTCCCCTTCTCAATGAAAGGGATTAAAAGGGTTTCAAACTTGCTTGCTCTTTGTTTTGGTATAAATATATTTTCTCAATGCCTTCTTGTAGTACTACTCGTCTCGCGCCATTCTATATGTGAGGTGACCCAGGAGCTTCTTATTCCAGGTGCAAGTAATGGTGTTCTTTATGGCAATGAAACTTAATCCTCTAACTGCCATGAGTGACCAAAACTAAATTTCTCCCTAAAATATCAATACAATATCAATCAGATAAGTTATGAGAGTATAGAAAAATACAAGTTTGGAGATAATTGGTAGATTCAATACTAGATTCTCTGAACTAACATTATAGGAATTGTATGGTTGACAGTAAGGAGAATTACAAATTTTGATCTGGGAGCTAAAGGGTTAAGGACTGTAAAAAGTGATTGGTTGGTTTCAGAAACTGCTTCCTACTTTCCTTTTCAGCTAGGTGATAGCTTAGTATCACCAAGTATGAGGTTTTTTTTTTTTTTAACCCAATGACTTACTTTTTCAGAGGAGTCCACTGGTAGCTACACAGCTGCTTTGGATCAATCTGATAATGGACACACTGGCCTGCTTTGCCTTAACAAGAGACACTCCCATTGACAGACTCATGAATTACAAACCGTATGGTCGTCACAAACCGCTGATTTCTCGCACTTTGCTCCGCAATGTGATTGGTCACAGCATCTATCAGCTGGTTGTCATATTTTTATTGATCTTCAAAGGAAGTGACTGGTTTGACATTACAGATGGTTTCCATTCAGAGACGTTGTGCATGCCAACTCAACATGCCTCCATGGTGTTCACAACATTTGTGCTCATGCAGCTGTTTAATGAGATCAATGCTCGAATGCTGCAGGAAAGAAATGTCTTCCTTGGAATCTACAAGAACTTCGCTTTCCTCAACATATGGTTTGGACAGTTGGCAATGCAGGTAACTTTACAATTTTTGTAACTTTACTTTCATGACCTAGGTTTATCAGTCAAACAGTTACTTGTTACCTTCTCTTAAATAAAGTTAAATGTGATGATAATTATTACCTTAAGTTTTTGGTTATCAATATTATTGTTGTTATTATTATTATTATTATTATTATTATTATTATTATTATTATTATTATTACTTTTGTGCAAAGAAATGAAAGCAGCCCTCAGCTCTATTCCAAAGTCTTTTTTCTTCTCATTGATTTTCTTTTCCAACAGATCGTAATAGTTGAGTTCTTCCACACAGCCTTTCATGTGGAAGGCATGGACCTGTATCAGTGGATGTGGTGCTTCTTTCTTGGCTTCTCAGAGCTCATCTGGGCTCAGATTATCTTTACCATTCCCAAGGATGTTCTTCCCGAAGCATTCCGCTGTATTGCTGTAGGTGCTCCAAAAGGCCGAGGCATTGCTTACTATAGGAGCAGCTCCCGTGTTGAACAGCAGGTATTAAGTCATGTGTTGTTACAAATGACATAAAGTGTTTTGTTTGGTAGAGGTCCGGGAGTAAAACCAACTTAATTGTCAGAATTGACTGGAAGAACTCATGTTTGATTTAGTTTATTAAGCTAATTAGGTTTTTGTTTGTTTGTTATGTTTTGTTTTGTTTTGTTTTGTTTTTTTTTGCCGTTCTCACTTTCTCTATATGAGGATTTCATATACGCCACCTCTGATCTACAGAGAGCTCGATAATAAGCAAAGTCCACCGAGATATACTAGGTTCATGTGTTACTTCATACTTCAAACAGCGCCAGTATCGAAAGCACTTATCAGATAAAGAAAAATGGCACAGGAATCGGAGGTGGGGGTACTTAGTTCGTAAGAAGGTTTTTCTGAAATCCATTCTGATGTAGGTTATCTTTTTAAGTATGAGGGGTTTATATGACTTGCAAGATTTTTTTACTTTCTTCGAGCATTCCATTAATCTCATAATAATAGTTTTTTTTTTTTCGAAAAGTGTGGTAGGGAACATCTGGCACTATCATGGTTCCGTCTTTGGATACTGGTGTTAATGTTGAATGTTTTACACTACAGGACAGTGGTATAGTCAACTCACTGTTGAGTCCAGTGGATGATTTTCTTGAGATTGTGGAAGAATGCCCGCCCATGGAATAGCTACCTTGCATCTACTCATGGAACAGAATGCTGTGTTTCGTATAAGTGGAGTAAAGCTTGATAGTAGGGAAATTAAAACTAAAGTAATTATAGAAAAAACCGATCAGGATTGGAGTTAGTTTAAATGGTGTGTGCCGCTGTTGTTTGATGGCGATGGTACATTGGTTACCGAGTCATCATGGTAACAAACATTCATTACCTAGAAAGACTGAAGTAAGCTGGCACCCCGTAAAAACTGTTGCCATAAAATTTTTTTTCTTGTATGTAGCCAAAGAGACATGAAATCAATGAGCTGATCAATCGATCAAAATTAATTGGCGAGCTTATCGTCCTTTTGCATGTTAGCTTTGTTTCCTTCGTAACTTTGTAAGTAGCCCTGACAGCTTTGGTGTGCTGTGGAAAAAAGGCTCGACTCCTACCCATCCCTAGGGCTTGAATAGAGAGAGGAAGGAAGAATGGTTTCTTCTCTTATTTTCCGCTTTCCTTTTTTCGACTACATAACATGCTGCCCCGACCCATTCCTATTTCAATCGAGCGTTAAACAAGATTCATAAGAAAAGAGTTGAGCTGTAGTTGATGACTTTTATTACAGATTTAGTAAACAACAGTTTTAAGAAGCTTTTCCAACTAAGTACCTTTGAAGTTTAAAAATCGTGGTACGATTCAGATCCCAAAATTGTAAGTTTGTAGTATAGTACCATAAACGTCTTATCAATCTTATAGATGCCAAGCACCGTTGTTATACACATTAAAAACAGTTACGTAATGTAATCAGCTTCTAAAGCTTACCAACTTTTAAGATGTACCGCATTTTCAGTATTTGAGGCCATATTTGCTTTGTTCAAGAAGGTCAACTTATTTATGTAACATGTAGAGTACATTGTGGGGTAAATTTTATAAGGCCAATAAAGACTTGACTGCTATGTTGAGAATTAAACTTCTCCAGTCAAAGATGCTGCTTCATGAAAATTAAACTGATGTAAGTTCCATGATGTATTTATCGAAGCATCTAAATAAACATCTGCATACTAACTTTGTGTAGCAAAGTCAGGGTTTTTCTATCCTTACTCTCCTTTGCGAAACTTTTTTTCGCTTTTCAAAACACCACGTTATCTACCAATCAAATCACCGATGAAAGAACATGTACGTCATTTTAATGCCAAGTATGAAAATAGCAGCAAAATGAATATAATGACAACTGCATTTTCTCAATTACCAATTATGAAGTAGATGATCGGACATTTAGTATTTAACCACTACGCTGTTATCTATATCTTTTTCTAACCTAAACTTCTGTTTTTCTGTTTCTGCCCCTGCCGAAAAATAATTGCGGTTTTGTTTACCACAAACAACCTTCGTCAGTGACCTTTCTAGAAGATAAACTTAACAAGTTTGTGATTGCCCTGAGGGCCCGTCACGGGCCTTTGCCGATACATGTTTTCGTCGGAGAGTTAGACGCTGTTCTCTTAATCTTCTTAGTTTCCCCTTTTTTTCCAAACGTCTTTGTTCCGAAGTTACAGCTTCGGAAGTCTTTACGTGGTTTCGCGATCACTTCAAAGTACTGAAACAGTAACTTACCAGGTATTCAGCTTCTTATCCCTTACTCGATTGAAGATATGTGGTTAACAATTCCATCGCAATTGTCTTTTGTTTTGTTTCGTTTTGCTTTGTTTTGTTTTGTTTTGTTTTTTCTGGTTCCTTCGAAAAGCATAAAAAAAAACCTCAAGTCGGCTACCGGTACTGCAGGCATTCACTGAAGGATTTCAACCAGCAATCAGGCTATCGACCAAAATATTTCAATGTGTAACAACCTTTAACCTACAAAGTACAATCTGAGGGGGGGGCACGATTACATAGCTCCGTTTCTGGATTTGCGTTGGAGATAGAAAATGAAGCTGTTACAGCACTAATTCACACTGTGATAATTTATCTGTTCCTTGAGCGAGAATTCAAGCTTCATCAAGTTGTTTTCCGTGTAGCTATTGTTTACCCGTATCGTAGAATTTATGACAATCAAAACGTTATTGTTGCGCTGCTATAGCGACAGTTCCCTTTGTTTTTCATTTGTCGTTCAAATGATTTGCTGGACCAATCTCGAGACATTTTTGCGTTCCTCTTCGTAAAAACAGCATAGGCAAGGAGAAAGGGAAATTTGTAATCTACCTCGATTCCAAAGTTTCCTGCTTAATACTGTTTCATGAAAAAAACTTCGTAAGTTTTTTCGTGACACATGAAACTGCGAACGTCGGTAAGATTTAGTGGTTCGTGATTCCCGGATTACTCGTTAATTAAACAGAATTCCTTGCGGCGAGTTCGTAACATTTAATTTTTCGTCATCAGCACAACTCTGACAACTTTGTCCTGCTCAGCACTCAGGCGGCAAAAACATGGCACTTGACAGTCCGAACTGCGCTCCGGATTTCCCCGATCATCAGGAGCTTAAACGCAATTTCGTCGATCTGATGGAAACTCGAGGGCGCACAGCAGTAGATCGTCTTGAACGAGAGCTTGGCGGTGTTAAAGCAATCGTGCGGAAGCTTCATTCTTCCACCAGAAAGGGTGTAATTGGTATTAAAGACGGGCTCGCGAGAAGAGAAGTTTTTGGAAGCAATCATATACCGGTTAAGCCGCCTCAGAGCTTTTTTCGATCGTTTATTTACTCGCTCACAGACTCGGTCTTGATTATTTTAGTACTGGGAGCCATTGCTGCTCTTATTCTTGGCTGGTATCATCCTGAAATCTGCGATGGAATAGAACAGACCAAAACAGCTTGGATGGAAGGCTGCGGAATTCTGGGCACTGTGGTAGTAATCATTTTTAGTTCAGCTCTGAGTGACTTCTTTCGAGACCGTGAGTTTTATAAGATGCAAGTTAGAATGGAGAACAGCCGAAAATGCACTGTCATAAGAAGCGGAAAAGAAATGACAATCTGTTGTAAGGATCTCAAAGTTGGTGATCTATGCGTTCTACAAGTCGGTTCAATTGTTCCAGCGGATGGTGTTCTCGTTCAGTCGAACGAGTTACTCACAAATGATCGTATTGTTGACGGTGGACAGATAAAGGCTTCCAAAGGCGATGCAGACCCTTTAGTGTTCGCTGGAAGTTACGTGAGAGAAGGAAGTGGTAGATTTTTAGTCATTGCTGTCGGTAAGGACACTCAAGCTTGCAAAAATCAAGAGAACAACCTAAAGGCTTCTGATCAAGAGTTTAACCCGGATGACGAACGCACAACCTTGCAGGGAAAGCTTAACAAGGCCTCGGCTGTCTTAGGTCTCACTGGCATCATTGTTGGTGCACTAGTGACGTTCATTATTATCATTAGATTTAGCTTTCAAACATACTCAGTTGATGGTAAAAGTTACGATGTTAGTCACTGGATTGAGTTCGTTCAAGCTATAATAATGGGAATAGTCATCATCATCATCGCTGAACCAGAAGCGCTGTCACTAGCTGTCACAATCACACTCTCCTACTGCATAGAGAAGATGCACTCGAGTCGAATATTGGTCCGCAATGTTGATGTGGTGGAAAAGATGGGGAACCTAACAACGATATGTTGTGGTAAAACAGGTGTGTTGACTGAACTGAGTGAGCTGACTGTCTCAGAGCAAGTAGTGGAGTGTTACATGGCCGACAAGAAATTCACTGGACATCCGCGTTTTTACGGCGACAAGTTGCCCACGAACGTACTTAAATCCTTGTGTGATGCGATATCAATCAACACCAGTTACTCCTCTAATATCACGGTGAGCTTAAAATAAATAATTAAACGCGGAAACCCTTGCGATTTCCATTTACTGATGTTAGAATGTAAAGTAGGTCAAGGACCGGTCCAGAGATACTGTTATTCACAAGATGTTAATCCTGAAAAATAACCTACTTAAGCTATTCATTGTTCCTTAGGCTGAGTTAGGATAATAACAATTGGCGCATTTGTAAAATGGTATTCAAATGCGCTTTCAGCCGTGACGTAATTACGATCATTCAAAACAAAAAGTCCACAGTGGATCATGACGTATTTGTTGTTATAAATGCTGAAAATTTAAAAAAAAACCCAATAGATTACGTCTCTAATTTCAAATGCTCGTGGAATAACCATGGTTGAGCTGTAGTTTTTTTCATGCAAATTTCTGGCTCGTAATACACCACTCCTTCGGTTGTTTGTCGCAGAACTTTCCAGTCCGACAGCTTAATCAGTACATGACGTTAAACTTAAGACTGAAAAATCGATTAATGATGGCATGAACAAAACAACTCAGAGTAAAACTTGGCCTTTGTTTCCTTCGTAAATAATGTCATTCTCGGCATTCAGATAAAGTTCATTTGGTCAACTTTTTTTTCATGGTTGACCCCACCCAGTCAAAGTACTGACTCGTGTGATGTGTTCAGTCGTCAGGCCCTGAATGTCTCCCAAAACAAACCGGTGACAGGACAGAATGTGCTCTTCTCCAGTTTGTGCTTGATTTAGGCGTCTACTACCCGTTCATAAGGAAAGAACATCCAGAGGAAACATTTGTTAAGGTGTTTGGATTCTCTCCAGAACGTAGATTTATGGGCACAGTCATTAGGGATGGAAATGAGTATAAAATTTATATCAAAGGAGCACCCGAGGCCATTCTTCCAAGGTGCACGGGGATTTTTAAGGAAGGAGGAAAGGTTGCTATGTTTACTCTCGAGGATAGAGGCGAGATAGACCGAGTCATCAAAAACATGCAAGAGAGCAGTCATTTAAAAGTGATGTGCATTGCTCAAAGACCTCTATACCCCTCAGGTGAGTTGTGCCAAGTCACATTTTTTATGATTGGCAGTGGTGTCATTAGTTTACCCGTAAACATTTCTCATAAAAAGAGAATATGTATGAAATTCACATGAATTTCATCACAGAATAAAGATCTTTACCACATTTTCCGTACATGAATTTCTGGAAAAATAAAACGCACTTTGACGACTTGGACCCACTCTCAGCTGACTGAGTGTATTTATCTTATCGACACTGATTTGGTCTTAAGTGTTTATACAGCGGTTGTTACATGGCAGACGCTAAGACTTTTTATTGTTATTATTACTATTGCTGACCGAAGCGGGAGAGCCACAGTGGGAAAGAGAAGAGGAAATAATATCAGACATGACGTTGATTGGACTTGTAGGTATCGACACAGTGGATGAGTACGTAAGTACCTCTAGCTGTTAGCCATAGCTTACTTAAATTACGCTAGATAGGAGATTTTTAAGGACTGGTCTTCGTTATTTCTATGCTTTAGATATTTCCATGCACTTATTTAGTACAGCCATGAGGTTCAAGTGTGTTTATTTACATCTGTGAAATAATGTACCCAGAACTTGAAGAAATCTGCTTGTTTGAGTATCTGGGTTCAACGCGGGAGCATAGACATTCCTGGCTGGAGTCAATTAGCCACGAGTAGCACAAGATTTTTCACCCTGAGGGCCAGACTAAGCCTGTTCTGTTACTTAACGATCAAATAGCCTAACAAAGCAACAGTTCGACCTTTATTGAATACGACAGTTTATTACTGCCTGTCTATCAGATCAGCTAAAAGTCTAAAAAAAATTATTATCAGACGGACCAACCCGCCACCCCTTTCCCCCTCCTCCCTTCCTGTGCAAACATTTACGTCAATTCGTTTTGGAAGGTACGATAAAAACATGTCCTTTAAAGTTAGTTCTGACTTTTTACGCTCTGACGCTCCTCAGGCTTCTTTTCAAAATTATAGTTCCTCTGTAAATATCGTTACGTTGCTTCTAAAGATCTATCGAATTGTATGGGTTCAGCTAACGAGTAATAGAACGTGGATTCTTTCAAATAAGTCTATGGAAAGCTTCCATAAGAATATTGTAAAATGTTCCACACTTGTTTTTAAATTTACTTTAACAATTATCTTTAGGTGACTGTTGAAAGTAGAAAAAGAGCAATGGAAGGAAA